TAATAGGAGTAGAGAGCCTCATCTTTCTTCAGCAGAGTAGCTGGTGGTTTTGAACTGTTGACCTTGTAGTTAGTAGCCCAGCATTACCACTCTGTACTCAGTGGTCAAAAATGATGAAGTATTGAAACATGAATGGATCTCAAAGGCATGACACCAAGCAACAGAAACCACTGGGCCACACATTGTGTGATTCCGCTGGAAGAACCTTCTGGAGAAGGCTAAATAACAGGGATGGAGAGCAGATGGATGGTGGCCAGAAGCTGGAGGGTGAGGGAGTCTTGGACTCGACGGGGCAGTAGGGAACATTCCAGGGTGATGGGACTGTTCTCTATGCTAATTTTTGTGGTGGTTACCCAACCACATACCTTTGTCAAAGCTCAAAGAACTGTCCCTCAAAAGGATGCATGTTCCCATCAATGGACTAAACTTCTACCATCCTGATTAAGAAAAAAGAAGATGAACCAGAACTGATGCTTCTATGACGCGATCTGGATACTTCGTGGTTCTTGAAAAGCAGTCTCAGACCCCATCCCAGATGTGCAGAACCAAAATCACCATCCTAACAAGATGCTCAGGTGAGTCTCCTGCACACGAGAGAAGGCCATCCACATCAAAGGTACCAGTTCCCCGTGGGGGCTGACATGTCCTTCCCATTCAAGCACATTTTACTTTTCCGCAGCAAAACAGACCCAAATTCACACCAAATGGGATCGAAAACTATAAACAGCCTTGGGTCAAATTAGACCACTTTCTCCCCAACCCTCCCCACTCCTTCCCGCCACATGAGCTCAGAAACAGCTGTTTCAGAGCCTTCCGGATTTTGGAATTATGGGGGAGAGACTATATCCTTGTAGGAGACAATCCCAACGGAAAAAGCCAAGCGCATTCTTAAAGCCACTGCTTTCTAATCCATTCTGACTCAGTAAAACTGCTCACCCAATGGGTTCCCAAGGGTGTCATCTTCACAGTCCTTGAGGAGGTGTTCCAGCTCTCTCCTGTGGAGGGAGTGGCTGCTGGGTTTGAACCCCCAGCCTTTTGATTAGCAACTAAGCACTTTGCTGTGCCACCAGGGCTTCTTGGAAACGCGCTCCTCTGGAATGACAGCCAAGCTGACCTAGCAGAATGATCCTAAGGACCCTGGGCCACTCTGTCCTTTTTGTCTGTACTGCCGTAGCTATCTGCGAGCACATCCTACCTCATCGTACAGGGAAGCACCTGATCGCTGAACCCAAATTCTCCCAGGGCTCTCTCCACTTTCTTGTGAGACCCTTCAGCTTCCTGCCCTGCAGAACTTTCTTGTGAGAGCCTTCAGCTCTTGTGGCATAGTGGGTTACAGGTAGGTTTGCTACCTGACAGGTCAGCAGTTTGGAAGCACCAGCCACTCGGCAGGAGAAAGATGAGGCTCTCTATTCCAGTAAAGATTCACAGG